TGCAACAATGTATAAGCAAATATCGTAGTGTAAGACGGATTCGTCTGCTACGACGTGGGAGTAAACCTATTAACTGTGCGTGTGAGACAACCAGTACAAATTAAGGTTTATTATAACAAACAGAACTAACAAATGTGAAAAATTAGATTAGATGTCTTGTACGAACGGTGCTCGGAGGTGGGTTGGTGTCGGTCGAACACGGGGAGCAAGCAGGGAATTTATGTCCACAGCGCGGGTGCACGGCGCAACCTCTTCCAACGGTAGGCCACACAGGCTTTCTCCGCACAGCCACTAAGGCTCTCTTCACTATGCCACTAAGGCAAACACCGATGAGCCACTTAGGCTCCCTCTATACGGCCACTGAGGCCCTCTTCCCTCAGCCACTTAGGCAGTCTATCCGGAGCCTAGGCCCTCTCTCTCACGGGCCCTACAGCTCCCACCGGAAACGCCACGAAGGCACACTGAAACTGGAACGCTGGGTCGCTGGAACACAGGAAAACCAGACAGAGCTCGGGAACACCGGAGCTCTGGAACTGGAACTGGAAGAAGAAGAAGAAGTACTGCATAGGAACACGGACCCCTTTTATTGGGACCTTCCCGCCCAAGTCGTTTCCCTCTGGCAAAGGTGGCCTCCATGACCCCCCGCGATCAACTCCTACCACCCCGGTCGATACACCGCTCAGACCAGCTGATCTACAGCTGATCTCTCCAGGGCGGCATGTTCCTCTCTGACATAGTACGAGAGCAGCACAGTGTCTAAACTTACCTTGTACATCTTGGAATGCCGATGGGAAAATTCAGAGATGGTCATGAATGCTCCTTCATAATCTTTGTGCTAGAATTGCATTATTGTTTCGTCACTGGGCTCATATTGAAGGTTTTTCGATATAGGAACGGCCGGTAGCAGTAGTGACTGCGTATCGAAAGTAAGAAAAATAAAACGTGGGAGATTCCAGGGTTTCTTCCGATGACGCCACTATCTGCTCCCATCCAAGGACATCACTGGGCCCTTGGTTGAGTCGTAGTGAGTCTAGAAGTCTTTATTTCCAAATTATTCTCATCGATTCTCTGTTTTCCTTTTGATGGTTCTTTTCAAAACTTAAAGTCTGGATTACCTTTGCAATATTTGCAATTTATAGCCTGTGCTGCAAAGCAGAACTATTCGGAACCGTGGTGTCCGTTCCTCGTCGTCAGACCCACAGATAGCAGCTTTAGGTTCACGTGCCGTCATCAAAGAAGCTGATGATCGACTGATGCCTACCAAAGCCTTCTTCCATGCCGAAGATATGATCTCGACTGAAGACATATGCAGGAGTCGAGCTGGAGGCTGTTGGTGGAGACGATGTTGTTGACAGCCACGGCCGTCGAGCAGCTGCAACGGCACTCCCAGATGACAATGGCCCCTAAACTAGTTTCTATACTTGGAATGACTGCAGAGTGAAGCAGAAAAGGAATGCAGAAGATCGTTACTGTAGCTGGAAAGTAGAGAAGAAGAACTAGAACTGGAAGATTCAGTTTCAAAATCAGTGTAATTCATGGCTACGAGAGGTTGTTCAACGGTAGGTTTCTTACGTGTTGTACTTGGACCGTGGTGAGCTTTTCATGTCGATCTTGAGGGAGAATTACATCTATCTCCTTACAAACTGGGAAGTCTTTAGATCTTTTAACAAACTTTCACTGCGCCTTCGTTTATAATTACCCTCCCCTTCAAAAAGCCAGAAATTGTGCGGTGCAGACCATACACCACAAGTGAGACGGCCTCAAAGTAAATCTGTTTAGGCCGATGTCAGACTTTGCGAATCGCGCGATTCGCTAGCGTCTGCGGTCGCGTCGCGGCCAGTGAATCACTCAATTGGCTGGTACCGCAACGCGACCGCGGACGCTAGCGAATCGCGCGAATCGCTAGTAGCGAATCGCGCGATTCGCAAAGTCTGACATCGGCCTAGTAGTGATTCATAGTGATAGCTGATTTTTAGTAAATGATAGTTGTAATTACTGTCAACTGATCGAATACAACTGTAACAGGTTAATCATTTCATTGGCAAAAAACATTTGCATTTTCTGGAGGCCGTCGTCACTTGTGGTGTATGGTCTGCACCCGACACTTTCTGGCTTTTTGAAGGGGAGGTTAGTTTCCGCATTGAGCCACAATACGCACTCGAACTCATTAATTATCCAACAACATTTATCGGTACTACTTCATTAGAAGTATCGGCAATCACTGAAGCGCAATATTTATATTTCATATAAATATTTATGTGAAGACGATAGACGCAAACAATTGTACAAACATTGACAGCTTTACAGTGAAGGCAAGTAGACGTCAGAGAAAGGCGACCTCGAAAATGAGTTATTGGCCAGTAATCAGCCCTTATTCATGAGCAAATTCGAAGGCAGAAATGAGCGGGAGACAAGATCGGATCGGTATACGGGTAGATCAAATGGAGAAATGAGGCAGTAGTATCGTCACCGACTCACCGTAATTGTTTAATTGCAGACTCCAGTGCGACAACAGGCTGCCAGGAAAAGAGAAGATAGACGGGCGTTTGTGTGCTTGAATAAGGTGCGAGCCATGAATTGAGTGCGTGAGCAGGCCAACTATTCTTAATCTTTAGATCCCAGGCCTAGCAGTTCTTGGGTCTAATCTTATAAGCGAAGCATAAGCACAGAAAATTGGGGCCAGAGGTAATTTGATAGGTAAGTTGACACCGAAAGATGGCTTTACGTAAGTGAGCGTTCGTAAAAACGCTTTGAAATGACTGGGTCACTCATATTACTGCATCCATAATACTTATTAACATCAAAGTGAATTACTCCTCTTCTGCCACCCTCACCCTTTCCACCCTATTCGTAAACGAGAAGGAACGTTGGGACTGCAGCAGTGCACCACAAGGGGACGACGGCCAAGAAAAAAGAAAGAAAAAACATTTTTTCCTTTGCGCGTCGTCCATTAGTGGTGGTGCCGGGGCCTGCATCGACGCTCTTGCATATTTTCGAAAATAGGAGAGTTCAACAAATACTCAAGAGTTTTTGAGAATTCAATCCCCCCTCGCTCTTAATCCAAATCTAACGTCTTATTTCATGAGCCCTTGATTTTAATTTATGAACATCGCTATTCAGCCCGCTAATCTACCAATTCTTTTGCAAAAACTAATTCTTTTGCAGAGCTTTCCAGTCAGCGGTTGAAATTCTCCAGATTATAACTAAATTCGGATATCCTAATTGCTGCCATAGATGAGATTGGCTCAAAAAAGCTATTCCTAAGTTCCTAATGTGTCGGTTCCACATGCCAGAACGTCTCGCCGTAGGGGCACAGAATTCATCTAGTGCTCAAAAGATGCGGACCATTCTATTGTAATTTTCACTGTGAAATCAGTCTAGTGCTCTGTTGCAAACGAAATGTGCTTGTGATGAGGTCATGCAGGTGAAAGGTAATAATATTGAAATGAAACAGCTAGTAAATCCCCTGTAAGAGCACATTAAATCATTCACACTGTGGATGGATAAGCTGAGCAATTCTGTCCCATATTGGTACATAGGAAAAGGAAGGGTGGACTCACAGAAGTAAGAGGCTTGTGCCATCTCTCAACCAATCGTTCATGGAAAAATAATGATTCTTTCTCACTCACTCAACTGAATCACGGCTTGTAACTCATCATGCACGATGGGAGGAAAGGAACATAAATGCGTGTGCTTCGGTATACAATTCTAGAAAACCGAAAAAACTGTTACGCGTTCAGTTTCAACCGTACATCTGTCACAGATGATGGGACGGGAACGATTCCACTTGGTTCTCGGAGTGCTTACCCTACGAACTAGTTTTGGCCTTTTCCACCATGGTGATTCCATTTTTCATTTCTACTGCATCCTATTCTATCCATCGTTTTGCCTTTATTCTTTGAACTTGAACACTTAAACCCGATTCTTCCAAGGCGTCGCCTGATAGGACGTGGACTCCTATGGCGCACTTCTTTCCGCGCGTTCCTTGCTTCTACTCACGAGCTCCCCGGAGACGATTACTTCAAGGAGAAACAATTCCGTACGTCAACAGAAATGAAGCAGGTAATAGTCATTAAGCGACGTCAGGAGGAAATACGACCTTCCGAAGGGGATCACCACCCCGTGGAGCAGTTCTCGGCAATGACAACAACAAGGTGAGAGTTCTCAAATAAAATCGATGAAAAGACACACAAAAAACCAAGGGATTGTTGAATATCGGTTGCTTCTTATCGGAAAGATGGGAGGAAAGATGACTACAAACCACAAACAAGTTAAACAAGTCAGAATAATACAGGCATCTTTGAATTCTTTAGAGTTGACACGGAAAGATGTGATTCAAATCATGCTGCACTCTTCTCCTCTCACTGTTGCTACTTTACTGTTGGGGTTACCGCCCCGCCCCCTTATATTGAACGCCGTCGATTTTCCTGGAGAGATAGAACCTAGGTTCAAAGGAGTTGTAGGACCGAAAGATTGTCTGCGCCTGGTAGGATATAGGGCGTCCGCATACCATGGCCGATAGTATGGATTGTGGTTTGTATATTTTGCGATCTGAGCATGATTTTGTGGAAAAATTGCCTCATATGTGAAATTTGCTGCCTCAAGGGATACATGATCACTCCATCCTTCCTCGCTCGACGCCCTTGTGCTGTTTACAAATCTGGTGCAATGTTACCGGGTTCAAGTTGAATCTGACGCACCATATTCGGAGGTGAGTGGAGAGAGCTTATAGGAGGTTGTGGCGAGAGGGATGGAGACATTTATCAAGTAAACTACTTGACGCTCGATTCCCCTTTTAAAAGATGCCCAGGTAGGGGCCTGTCAGTATTGTGTATTAATACAAGAGGAACTAAAGGGGGGGGGCGTAAATCAATTCAGGACGAACTCTTTATATTCTTGCTAGCGCAATGGTTAGCCCTGCATCACACTTAGCAGCACGCGTAGAGCTGTCATTCTTTCACGGTAAAGTAGCACTGAATAACTGAATAATGCTCGTTTCCTACACTAAATCGCTGAAGTATAATATGGCTTGACATCACGTGAGAGGCTATTACCACAGCAAGGCCGATAGAATGGGTGCAAAAGAGGATGGAAGCGGTGCAACGTGAAGTGCTGACATAATAACTCACCGTTGGTGGCGCCAGAGGAGATTCCACAGCAGGCCCATTCAAATGGGAAAGAGCCATTCCATTGGGGCCTACAATAAAACGATGCGGCTTAAGTTCCGAAACTGAAACAAACTTAGTGTACTGTATATCTCTTTACAGAATAGAGGAACAAAGAAAGTTTTTGTGGTTTTTGAATCCTTTCAACCCTACTACTTTCGAAAAAAATTACTGAAGCAAAATTGTTACCATTTTTCTCCATTCGGACCTCGTTGTTGGTAGCGAGCATCTCCATAACAACGTTGATTCCGATGAAAAACAGAATGTAACCTCCCATGACCCAATTAGGGAGCGTATCCATAATATGAGTTCAATCCTGTCTTACCCATCGGCAACGACAATATCATAGCTGTACCTGAATCGAGACGAAAATTTTGTCTTGATAACCCTAGATATAGATAATACTTAAGTTTAACATTTTTCTACTTCATTTTTTTATTCAGCATAGAATGGAATTTACTCAACAATATGTATAATCCCACTGTTACTCACTGAAATGTCCCGACTAATGGGCGGGTTAACGCCCTGGGTATATTGGAAGTTAACGGAGAATGACCGAGACATTTCGTTCCCGTTCACCTACTCCACGACAACACCAGCCCAATTCTGCTCGAGACCTGTGAAGAATTGGAGCTGGGATGAGAGACGGCCCCACCTCCTCCATTACCCCTCCGAATATGACCTTCGCCCTGTTAGGCAT